AACAACATTATTATATGAAGTTCAACCCTGTTGTTGTTCAGTGACTTCATCAAACAGGTACTTCCCCACAGGTGTTGGTGGCTGTAAGCTTTATGGGAGCTGATTAGCTGATTACCAGGTTTTTTCCCATGAAACCACTGGGTGGGTCTGAACTGCCAACCTTTCGGTTAACAGCTAATTCCTTAATCATTGCATCACCAGAGATCCCTGAGGAAAGACGACACAAAAAATGTCCAACCACAACTGAACAGACTGAGAAATTGTGATACATTCACACAATGGAATGCTACACAGCACTCAAAAACACATAATATTTTTTAAAAATACTGTGTAACTTGGGAGAGCTGGAGAATATTATACTGAATGAGCTAAGGCAGTCTCATAAGGACAAATACTGTATAAGACCATTATTGTACAAACAGAAAGATAACTAGTAAAATGTACAGGACCTCAAGGAGGGGAAGGAGGAACAGAGGAGTGAGGACAGGTAGGATGGGTAGAGGCAGGGGGAAGAAATGGGAAGGATCCAGGCAGAAGGACGGGGTAATGACGGGCAAGGTCTAATGGGGACTGATTTTATAAAACATAAATGAGAATGACTGTGTGAAACACAATGTGAATGAAGAACAGTGTGAAGCACAATGTATGTAAACTTCGCAAGCAAACCAATTAAAAAAATAATGTAAAATAGAGCATATATGAATGATTGTATGAGCACAATGTAAATGAGACTGTATAAAACACAACTGTATATAAATGAAACATAATGCAATTATTGTATGAAAACCAATAAAAAATAATTTTTAGAAAAATGTACCAGATCAAATGAGAAAGTTTAAAGAAGCATTCCTTTATTATTTTTAACTCTACAAAACCAGGCATTAAAAGCATTTGTGGAGAGACATGATATGTTTTCAATGTAAATAGATTTTAAAATTCTATCAATTCTTTGTATTTCATTTTCACGTACCTATGAAACATGGGAAAATGGTGAGTTCTCTAAAAGTTCATCCATATTCTCGTTTATATTATTAATTTTAATTACTTGGGGTTTTTTGGTGGTTAAAGCATTCTTTTTTTATTATTAATTTTAATGAAAATTTACAGAGACTTTGGATTTCCATTCATTCATTGTTGCTCTTTTCATCCTGCCCCTCCTCACCCCCCAGTACGCTCTTCTCTTTGAATTCTTTCATTGTTTTACAATCCCTCCCCCCAGGTCCACTCCACTATTCAGCCTTCGCTCTGGACTCCTGTCATTACAGTAATATTTAATCACATATCCCTGTTAAAAAGTTTTCTCCCTCATCTGTTTCAATGAAGTAAATATATTTCACGAGTTCCTTGTTTTTCAATGCAGCGTAGTATTCCATTGTGTGAATATACCACAGCTTCTCTATCCACTTGTTTGTTGATGGGCACTTAGGTTGTTTCCAACTCCTTGCTATTGCGAACAAAGCTGCGATAAATATGGGTGTGCATATATCTGCTTGGATATATGTTATGGTCTCTTTGGGGTATATTCCCAGTAGTGGATTTGCCGGGTCAAATGGTATCTCTATTTGCAACCTTTTGAGAAAGTGCCACACCATCTTCCACAGTGGTTGTACCATTTTACACTCCCACCAACAGTGAATCAGGGTTCCAGTTTCTCCACAACCTCACCAGCATTTGTTGCTTGCTGCTCTGCTCAGTTTTGCTACTTACTGGGATAAGATGATATCTCATGGTTGTTCTGAAATGTCATTATTCGTAAAGAAAAGATTGGCCAAGGCTTTGAGCTAGCAACTGTTAAAATCATTCCACATTTTGGATCAGCAGTATTTGAATCAACAAGGATGTCATTTATATAGAAAGATTTGTATTCAATATAAGGGGTTTTGCTTTTTAAGTTTATAGGTCTTATAGGAGTCTGGTTGCTTAATGGTAAGAAGTTGTGCTGCCAACCCCAAGGCCCATGGTTTGAAGCCATCAGTTGCTCCATGGGACAAAGATAAATGATCTCCTCCAGTATTTACAGACTCTGAAAACCTGCTGGAGAGCCAGCCATGAGTAGGTTCCAACTCAATGGCACCTAACAACAACAGGCCTTATAATAATAAAAACAAATACCAAAAGGGGGAAAAAACCCAAAACCCAACAAAACAAAACCCCCCAGTGACTGTAATAACTTAGAAAGCTAAAGGAATAAACATAGGTGAACACTTAATAAACAAATAAATGGAACTAAGAAGTTGATGTTTTTAAGCCCCCACTTCGACCTAGAAAGCATTTATGATACTTTTTTGTACACATTAATTCATAGAAACCTTCCATATTTTGCTGGTCAAAAGGGGATAAATATCAGCAATTTCCTAACACAAGCACTCAAGGACTAGTAACAGTGCAAACAGAATAAAGGCCTGCAGGACGGAAGGGGAGACATCATATTGGACGTTTCATTTCAATACAAGTTCCTACACGTTCGTGGTAAGTCACAAATATTGATTTTGTTCAGTCTGCTAGCTTCCAGGCAAAAGGAAAAAAGAGACAAGCTTATTTAAACAATTAAGTATTTTCAGCTCTTCAGAAGAACAGCTGTTCCGGGAAGAAGCTGCTCCCCTGGGTGCCCATGAGGTCTTCACAATGTCACGTCCTCTCTGGTGAGCCCTCAGTAAACAGACTAATGCATTTCACAGACTCTTAGTGATGACAGTCTCCAAAGTAGAGGGACAAGAAACATCGCGAACAGCTCGGTTTATGAGGGTGCGGTGTGATACCGGGTGCAGCTGGGGCAGGGCTGAGTGACCGTTTACACTGACCATCCGACTTGTACTGATTTCTGAAGACGTGGAATAACCACCATGGGTACTTCCTGAACTGCTGGCTTTCCAGACAAGTTTTACGTAAAGGGGGTAAAAAACGTGCCAACAAAACATTTCCAGCGTCGTCCCCAGGAGACTGGAATTGATAATAGAGATAGGAAGCCCTGCAGAGCGGTGTCTGATGTTCCCATGGCCTTTCCACTCAGGAACCCTCTCTCCTCCGTGCACTGGTCTCCTGTTTAGGACTTCGCACACACATCACCAACATTTTCCACCTTTCCAACTTTGGGGAAGGCTAAGACAGGAAGACGACCCTATCCATGTCCCTGGACTCAGACTTGTTCTGTTAGGCATGGAGCCACACACTTGGACAGGCAGGCACCACTGTTAGTCCCCGCGGAGTCTGTTCTAAGAACTCTCGGGTGTGCAGAACAGAACTGCTTCACAGGGGTTTCAAGGCTGAGGCATTTGGAAAGATTGCCAGAATGGTCTATGCCACCAAGGACCCCCTAACAGACAGAAGTTGCTGTTGTTGTCATGCGCTGTTGGGTCACCCATGACTCATAGCAACCCTGTGTACAAAGCTCTGAACCCTGTCCTATCCTGAGCCAATCTCACTGTTTCCAATCCACCTACCCCCGATACCCAGCTGCTGTGTCAATCCATCTCATCTGGGGTCTTCCTCTCCTGCATTGTCCCTCCACCCTTCCGAGCATGATGTCCTTCTCCAAGGATTGGCCCCTCCTGGCCAAGTGCCCAAAGTGTGTGAGACGGAGCTTCCAAAGCCTTGCCTCCAGAGAGCAGGTTGGTTTCAACCTGTCTAGGACAGACCTATCTGTTCTCTTGGCAGTCTGTTCAATACTTCTCTCCAGCAGCACAGCTCAAAGGCATCAATTCTTCTGTCATCCTTAGTCACTGTCCAGCTCTCATGGCCTGGATCAGGCGCACCTGAGTCTCTAGACCGACATCTTCGCACTTTCATACTCTGGAGAGGTCCCTGATGGCAGGTTTTCCCAGTGCAATCTGTCTTTTGACTTCCAGTGTTGACTGTGGACCCAAGCAAGCTGAAATTGTTACCGATCTCCTCTCCACCCATCACGGTGCTACCAACTGGCCCAGTGGTGACCTGTGTTATGGACGCAGGACACAGGAGTCTACACAGGCAAAACTGCCAGCAACCAAGGACTATCATATTAAAAAAAAAAAAAAATTAACTGTGGCATGAGAGTGTACAGAACGTGTTAATTTCCCCTTCAACCACTTTATCTGTATTTTGTTCTGTGATGTTGGTTGCCATGCACTCAACGTGGGTGGTACTCTTCCCACTTCCTGCCTGACTGCCCCATTTGTTTGTTTGTCCTTCCTGTCCTTTCTGTCTTGAAAGCAAATGTCACCCTGGCAGCCTCATATGGCGGGCTGTACTGAGGAGAGCATCCCTTCAGAATATCCAACTGGAGACCACTTCCCAGTGCTTCCTAGCGCTTCCTGCCAACCGCTGCAGTCCTGCACAGGAGAGATGCCACTGAAGGAGATGGAGTTCGTCAAGGTTGTTCTTGATAATTAATTCTAACTTATTCCGTATTGCTGCCCACATGACATGGTCTTCACACATGGAAATTAAACAGGCACACACAGGCACCCTTGGGAGTACCACCGCCAGGGCATGCTGTGTACTGGGATGTCACCGTGACCAGGATGGGACTGAGTGTGGCAGGCAGACACAGTGGACGGAGGAAGAGAATAGAGGAAAGGAAGGGAGTCAGGGCGGCAGCAGGCAGGGTGCTAGGATGACAGCCGCAGGGGCGGAGAGTGGCCCCCTGACTATGTGAGTGGTGACAAAATGGGAAGAGAGCAGGAGGAGGAGGGATCAGAGGTCTCGGACAGGCCCCCTGCTCCGAGTGTGGTAAACGGCAGTCTGGAGCCAGTGGGTTTATGAAAGATAAACAACAAAACATAGACTATTTACTTTAGACAAGTCACAAGCAAGCTGTTAATAACAAACCCCAGTGAGGCTTCTTACAGAGAGCTCCTAGGACACGTGGGGATAGGCCAGCGACAGCGTAAGCCTTTCCTTGAGTTACGAGGTGGGGATACCCAAGCCTGACCGTCAGAGGGACTACGTGCAAACAGCCCACTGAGGACTCAAACACAGGCGGATTACATTGTTCTAGCCTGGACAGCATGGATGCTGATTTTTGGACACGGCGTTTAACCTAAGAGAGGAGAGTGGTCCAAAGTGGACAAACAGCCAGAGGTCTGGAAGCTGCCGTTCTGCCCTTGCCATGTGACCTTGTGAAGGAACAATGTGATCTCTCTTAGCACAGCTGACAGCTTCACCAGAGTAAAGGCTAGCATCCCTACCTATGACAAAGGTGTGCTAAACCTGGGAGTCTTGGTTGTACTGGCGTTAAGTGCTTGGTTACTAACCACAAGGTCAGCAGTTTGAACCTGCCAACTACTCCACAGGAGAAAAGACGTGGTGATCTCCTCCCATAACAATGACAGGCTGGAAATGCTATGGGGCAGCTGTACTCTGTCATACAGGATCGCTGAGAGGCAGAAGTGTCATGGAGGTACACAATGTACTATATATACATGCATGTGTGTGTACACACACACACACACACACACACACACACAAATGGCTGGAGCCACCACAGTAAACTCAAGAGCTTTATTTTTATATCAAAAATAGGGTCTGGCGAGCTCTGGTGGCCTAGTGGCAGGAAACTGCACTGCAATCCCAGAGGTGTGCGGTTCAAATCCACCAGATGCTCTGCTGAAGAAGGAGGAACAATCACCTCCTGTACCAGTCAGATCTGATTTGACGGTACACACACACACACACACACACACACACACTCACTCACTCACTCACTCACTCACTCACTCACTAAATAAATAGAAAATTTAAAAAAAAAATAGGGTCTGCAGAGGCTTTTACAGCATGTAACATTCAGAAATGGATTATTATTTCACTGATCTGACAGAATCTCACAAAAGGATGCCTCGTGTGTCTTTTAAACAAGAAGAACCAAGCAAAGCTCTTCTTTGAAATGTAAGAGGACTTCAGTGCGCCTACCTTATTGGGATGGCTGGCCGCTTCCTTCCCAAGTCCACTTCAAAGAGAAAGCCTTCCACAGCTATAAATAAAAACTGGGCAAATGTCACGATATTCCCACATCCTGGATGCTTCCTGAAGGGCAGATGGCAGAGAGGAAAGCAGAGACACAAAAATGAGATAATAAATACACGAACAAGACGTGTCACACTGATACCTCAAACTGCCCACTGCTGCCCTCCACCCAGGCGTTCATGGTCAAGGACTGCAGACATATAAATACGTGAACAAGACGTGTCGCCCTGATGTCGCACTGATAGCTCAAACTGCCCACTGTTGCCCCCACCCGGGCGTTCACGGTCAAGGACTGCAGACACTGGGCCCTGCACCACGGAGAGAGACCCTGAATGGGGCGCCTTCTCAGTGGACTGTCCCCTAGGTCTGTCAGGCCATACGGACAAGCCTCTCCAACATACTCCTCCCTGGAACACGACACCGCTCCCATAGTGAGCCGCAGGAAATGAACTTCTTACCCAAGTAAGCCGACTTTGGTCAAGATCCTGGAATGCTTCTATCTAGGCCCAACTAGGGGTTTACAGAGTACTGTCCAGTGAAATGCATCCGGTGAGCCACCACTCCGGGTCGTGCCCAACGGGGCAAAGCTGCTTGTTGAGGGTGAGGAGGGGGGAACTTACTCCTTTTATTGGCGTAGATACACTTAAAGGTACACAGAGAGTCTTTGTTTCCAGTACTGCTGTAATGGAGATACCACACGGGATGACTAACAAAATGAGTATTATTCTCTACAGTTTAGGGAGCTTGAGGCCTAAACTGTGGGCACCAGTTCTAAAAGGGCCCCCCTCTCTCTGCTGATTCTGGAGGCAAGTCTTGTTTCCTTTGGCACCTGTCGGCCTGGCATTCCTTGGAGATCACACGTGTCCTCGCTTTCCTGGTGTCAAGGAGCTTCCCAGCGCAGTGAGACCAGAAGGACAAACTCCAACCCTGGGGCCTCTTGCTGTCACTGAGGACCCCCTCTTGACCAGTCTGCTGCTTCTTTCATGTCCTGGACATACTTAAAATACACATACACACCCGTGTTTACTGCAGCATTATTTACTACAGTGAAGAGACAGACATGAACGGGTGTTCATCAGGTAGATGGATGGGTGGATAATTAAGTGCATTCACACAGTGAAGGACTAAGCAACACTACAGAACAATCAAGAATTCAAGAAACACGGCATGGCACAAAAGAGTGTAGAGGACACTGTGCTGAGTGAGGGAAGCAGCTACAAAAGGAAAAATGTTACAAAATTATAAAATTGTAAAGAAAGGCTGATACAGAGACTCATTCTTGGATGGTACTAGAAAAAACTTGGAAATCCAATCCCATAAACACGGACAGTCTTTGGAAACCCGAAAGGGCAGTGCCACTCTATCCTCCAGGGCCACTATGAGCCCATGGGTGCGATGGTTAAGTCCTCTGCTCTACAGGATTCAAAGTGACCAGCTGAGCGTGATTTGAGGCTTTACTGTAAGAAGGTTCCTAGTATCACAGTGGTTAGAGCACCTGGTTGCCAGGCGGAAAGTCAGTAGTTTGAACCCATCAGCTGCTCTACAGGAGAAAGATGAGGCATTCTGCTTTCATCAAGACTGAGAACCTAGAAAACATCATAGGGTCCTTCCACTGTGTCCCACAGGCTGTCGAAGAGTCAGAATCAACTAGAGGAAACAGGTTTTTGTTGGGTTTCTCTGCTATGTTATCGCAGCTTTATCAGTGGAAGTGGTGTCCTCAGTTTAATCAGTAATGAAATACAAAGAGAAGCAGAAAAATACAGACAAGAAGCCCAAACCTGGAGAAGGCAGGTGCCTCGCAAAGATGGCCAAGGAACTGAAGTTCAAAGAGAAATGTCTTTCCCTGGGCCAACAAACTGTCTTCCCCAGAGTTAGCGTCCTCAATCGGCCTTCCAGCCTCCAAAACCTCAAGAAAATGCATTCTGTTCTTCAGGGTCCCCCCCTTGTGGTATCTGTTACAGCAGCACCAGACAACTGAGACAACATCTAACGTATGTGCACGATGTGATGTTTACACAGTCAATGTACTCAGCCTTTTAGGAACCCACTGCAGTATAGCTATTAGTGGCAGTATCCATAAAACAGAAATCAAGCACACAGCTTGAATCCATCTGAAAACCTCACAGTCAAATCTTCAATCCGCACCCTTAAATCTCTCATGTTCTTGAACTTCATTCGACTTTCTATGCATCTGATACAGGCCATGGTCTTTGCAATCACTTGTCATGCATCAGAAAGTTGGACAATGACTAGGGAGGACAGAAGAATTGATGCCTTTGAGCTGTGGTGCTGGAGAAGAGTACTGAATGTACCATGGACTGCCAAGAAAACAAACAGATTCATTCTGGAGAGGGTTAAACCAGGCTGCTCCTTGGAGGCAAGGATTCTGAGGCTTCATCTGACATACTTTGGACATGTTATAAGGAGGGACATGTC